GATGGTACCACAATTCAGTAGATTGAGTGAACCGATAAGACATCTCACGAAAAAAATGCATTGTGTTCTGAATATCACTTGGTTATTTTGATGTGAGAAAACCTACAACACTTACCGTCGACGCAAGCCCTGTCGGTTTGGGTGCAATATTAAGGCAAGGCGACACTTTAATTAGCTGTGCCAGCAAATCTCTTTCGGAAACTGAAAAACATTACAGTCAACTCGAACGAAAAGCGTTAGCCATTTACTTGGAAATGGATCACCATCGTTTGTATCTTGATGGTTCTCCAGAATTCGTTGTTGAAAGTGATCATAAAGTGCTTATAAATATCTTTAACTGCAAAGAATTACATAAAATGTCGAGTCGTGTTGAACGATAGGTGACTAAAGCGCAAAGGTTTAAATTCACTGCTGTGTACAGACCCGGAGTTAACAGTCCTAGCGATTATATGTCTCGGCACCCTCTACGTCAAACTTGTTCTACTGACAAAGGGTTTGACGAATATGTTTCATTCGTACATGAAAATACAAAACCTCGTGCAATTAGTTTGGGTGAAATTAAATTTGCTACAAACCACGATCCAAATTAATGTTTATTATAAATTGTTTGGAAACTAATAATTGGCATAAAATCCCGGTAATCGTATACTGTGACAAGATTCGTATATTTAAACAACTTAAACACGAACTATGCTTTTCAGACGGAATTTTAGTTAGAGGTTCGCGAATCGTTGTACCGTCTTCACTCCAAACCCAAATGATTTGTACGGCACACGAAGGTCATTTAGGCGCTTCAAAAACGAAAGCGTTGATGCGAGAGAAAGTGTTGTTCCCGGCAATGGACACGTTAGTTGAAAACGCTGTAGCCAATTGTCGCGCGTGCCAATTAAATGTAGACATGACAGTTTGTGAACCACTAAAACCAACACCATTACCGAAATTAGTGTGGTCACAGATATGTACGGTCCTTTACAATCAGGCCAATATTTGATGAATACTCTCGATTTACAGAAGTAGAAATAACACATTCTACAAATTTAAAAATGTTAAAAGTGATAATGTATCTCCGTATAATTCCCGGGAGTTTAAATTATATGCTCGACGTTCTGGTTTCAAACACCAAAAAATTACACCAGAGTTTGCAAGAGCTAATGGTTTGGCTGAGAATTTTATGAAAAATCATTGCAAAGTCATTAGATGTCCTCACCAGTCAACTGGCAAAACGCCTGCTGAATTAATGTTTGGTCGCAAAATGAAAATAAAATTACCTGATTTCGAACTGCGAGATTCTGATAAACGAGGAAAGACGAATGCATAATAAAAGCATGCTAAAAAAACAAACGTTACCACGATAAGTTAAATTCACAAAGTTTAAAGAAGGGGAGAGAGTATTAGTCAAAAACACAAGACGAACAAAATATGAACCACGTTATAGGAAAGAAATTTGAAACTGAGAATGTGTAAGGAAGTATGATTTCCGCGAAAAATAAACAAGGTAAAAATATAACGTGTCACATTTTTAAATTTACCATGGTCGTGATAATAGTAATATAAATGAGTTTAATGAAGATCTTGAAATAGAAAAAATTCTGCCAGAAATGGCCAATTGTAAAGCTAATCTTGCGCCTGCGCAGAAAGACATTTCACAGTCACCAAAACATTGATTCCACACGCTGAAGAAGAACCAATTGTACTAGAAGGTCTGGGAGAATTAGAAAACCCAATGTTAAACCTGATTATTTATACTATTGAATTCAAATGACTACGTATCATGGAATTGTATTTAAATGTATGTTATGAATATAAAAATCTATAAATTTAAAAAAAAAGAAGAAAAAAATATAAAATGAAATTAAAAAATATATATGTATAATTGTAATTTGTGTATAACGTTAATGTGTCGCATTACAAAAATGAGTATCAAATGTCATGTATATTATAGAATTTTAGATTTACAAGTTTTATTCTAAGGTGAAGGGAAATGTAGTGATCTAGTTTACATGTGAATGGCATTCCCACCTGAATGAATTGTATGCATAAATTAAGAGCCTATATAAGTAATTGAATAAACTTGAACTGGTGTTCATTTGATATTGAGCCAACTGTGTGTACGTGTGTTTCCTTGGAATGGATAGTGCCATAGATACAACAACATGATGGGGACATTGAGCGAGTATCAAAAGATTGACTGGAAGAATTATTTTGCAAGCATAAACTGTGAGAAGTCGAATCTACAGGCTACTCTCCCTACTACCTGATATATGGGACAAAACCACGCTTACCTGTGGATATATATCTGGGTCTACAACTTGACAGTTCTGAGGGAGACATGAAGGTAGCATGCATGAGGGAGAGAATGAAGGTTGCATATAATTTAGCTTTGGAGGAGGCAGTAAAATATTTTGTATGTAAGTGATATTGTCCGCTCAGGAATCTACTACTTCCATGTAGCGCATTGGTGATGCCTTACTCTGATAGACCAAAAAGGGAGAGGGCCAGGTATGGGAATAGCCAGACATGCTCCAAGCAATTCTGAGTCTGAGTTAGAAACAAAGTGGGAAAGTGCAAGTTCTGATGGCGGGCTTGTGTATTGCATTGTATGTCCAGAGCCACACTGAGCCAGCAGTATCACCCCTGTTGGTTTAGGTGGTATATTAGATAATGAGCATCCTGATGGTTTGATCACAGTCCCGGGTTAACTGGTGAACAGCAAAAAAATGGAGGTCAGTTATGCAGGTGCATCTTGTGGTGTTACGCAAGTGTTGGGTGTTAGGGGATATTTACACATAGACCCCCCTGCAAGATATGGTTATGATTGTTTAAGTAGACTGTAGACTTGTGCAATCCTTGTGACTTGTTGGAGTTGTATGCTGAAGCAAAAAAAAACAGTTTGCGTTGAAGGCTGAAGAGGCAGATGTCACTTGAAAATGAGGTGACTCAACTTGAAGAAATGTTCAGTAATCACCTTTGAGCTCTTCATCTTTTTCTTTATATACCTTGATGTGACATATATGTTTGAACAATGTGATCCCTTCCTGTTTTTTGCTGGTATTATCAGTAAGCCTGCTAGGATGGGTGACATGCCTAGCTAGGGTGTGGGCTCCCCCAAGATACTAGTGTGCCATGAGGTAGCAAATCAGTGTTGAACATACTCTCTTTATCTGTGACTCCTGTTGGCAAGGTGCAGCCCTCACCTGCACACATTGAGCAATTTGCTATAAGGAAATGTTGAGGAGTTAAGAAAAGAAATAAATGATCTGCAGGTCACCCGGATTGATGACACAAGATTCCGTCTCCCATCATGAGAAAATGGGGCTCGCAAACACAGCAGAGGTTGCTGCCACTTGTCTGGCTGCCTCATATCTAGGATTGACGTGATGGATGAGGCTCTATGCAACCAGGCAGCCAGAAGTTAGAGTCGACAGACATGAACAGGTGCATGGCATCGAGCTCCAGTGGTAAAGCTGGGTCTTCGCCAGGGTCTCTGGGATTGAGATGTGTGTTTGTGACCAGAACATTTCTGGTGGACAGTGGGGCCAAGGATTTTGTCTTCTCAAATAGAAAGTGGAATTGCATGGTACCACACTTTTGTCTTATCCTCCGGGTGAACTCTTCAGGTTGTGGTGTCTGTATGGCAAATTGTACCCAGATAAGAGTTAATGGATTGGGTTATTTTTTCAGTAACTATTTGATTTCTGGGTCAATGTATTACACATCGGCAAAGCCATTGTATACATTGTGTGTATGTAAATATCCCACTTATGGGGTTGGGTCATGATTGATGATGCCAAAGTTGTGAGAGGATTTGAAAATCAGAGACGATCTGAGGGTGTAAATAGGGTGTAAGGAGAAACATCCTTAAATAACACTGCGCTGGTGGACTGCTAGTTAAACTGGAGGCCCTAAGACATTGATGGCAGTGTTTCGATTGTTTGATTAAGTCATTAATTAGTTTAATCCCTTCATCCTTTGTGTGAAGTAGTGCAGGTAGCATTTATTGTTTTATTCATTCAACGGGACCATTATTGTTTGTACAACAGTTATAAATTTATTGACGTAGCAGCTAGGTCCTATGAGGTTCATTTAGTTTAGGTTAAGTTGACTTGAAAACTAGGCCCTGCCTGGCTCATTTGGGGTAATGATTAGTTTGTTATTTCCGTGGTGAAATATTTAGCTGAAGTCGTTATATTAAATTGGCATTATGTGCTGTTACTGTTTTAAACTATAGGATTAGTGTTGGCAGAATTGCTGGTTTGACTGACATATTGCCTGACAGTTTCTCAACTCCTTAAAATCTGTCATTAGTATATGGGACAGTCCCAGTTATTGCGAAAAGGGAGACAGATACACATTTCTTACTGAGGTTATTTATTGCTAGGAAACAGTTTTCTCTAATGTTGTTCCATAACAGGCCTATAAAGGGACCAAGAATGGCCTGTCACTGTGGGACAAGTGATGCGAAAGTCAAAATTAAAGTGTTTAATTTACCGACAAAAAAACATCATTCCCTAAATCAACATCTAACAACATTGAATGCTTTTACGCTTGTGTGAAGGAAGCTACTCTAACAAACTGATATAATGATTTGAATGAACAACCAACCTTTCTGATTTGTTGCTCTGCTGATTATCCACTGCTTTGGACGGTCTGCAACTTTTGTTGATGAATGCAGAAACGCGTCTCTTATCGCATCGTAGCTATTGAGTACAACCACTAACTGTACCCCAAGCCTTACACTGAATACGTCATCATAAGTTTGACTCCATTTGTGGAACGTCAAATATGTGTGTTCACAACATTGCAGCACTGACCCAATCAAAGGCCATCCTTGTGGACCAGGTGGTAAATTATATCGACGATGGACAACCACTTTGTAGACAAAATACAAACAGGATGCTAGTAGAATCAGAGTTTGCACCAGTGAAAATAAGAATGTGAAAGCCATGATGTAATCGTATTTGCAGTGCCGGGAAACAGTATACTGTAAATATAACAAACAGTTTCGTAAATGTATTACTGTTGAACAAATATCTCCCGGATAGACATTTCGCCCGACAATGACAATTCGGGTTTTCATGTGAGCATCTTGGTTCTCACGATTTTACCTTGGAAGTTCTGTGCATTACTAATTCTCACAATTATATCTTATTTACACATGAAAAACAAGTCTTCATTTTAAATTCAAAGATGTATGGGTTTGTGAAATTAGTTCAGCTACATCCTACACCTTTTCAGGCAATATTTAGTTTTTTGAAGCAGACCCTAGAATAGTGTGATTTTTATAGATCTGAAGATGGGGGTGCAAGATTCTCCAATGCAAATTGCGATCATGACACTCTGCCGATTTAATTCTTAATATTGATCAACATAAAATTATATGTTAGGTCAGCTGATGTTATTGTTAAACTATTTAAGGGAAGTTGCATATAAGCCTACACGTTTTTTTCTTTACAAATATCAAAACAACCCTGTAACATATGGTGATACCCGCCAATGCTGCCATTCATGGCTGTTCAACTGTACATTATCCATCTTTAACATGATTATATGTTGGCGTAACAT